AAAAGTTTCTACACCTTCGGAAGATCGGTCTCATTACCTCGGGAGGTAAGCAGTGCATCAAGCTTGTGGGCTTGAGACTTCTGAGCCCGGATTCAGGATCTTTTAGTCCATATGCACAGAAATGGAAATCTCCCCAGGTCACAAATGGATCTGAAAACAATTGTTGCATACACTTCAGATACCATATCCTGGATGTCTTGATATCGCGCAATGGATGCCACAAATTCAACCACGGGAAGGTAGCGTCTCCGCTTTTCCCCGACCTTTTGTTGGTCTTGTTGGATGTTCTGCATATTTGACCATGGTCCACAGGCCGGTGCCATTAGGATGACATCAGGTGCTTGTTCACGGGAGTCCCAACCTTAAGACCTGATAGTGCACAGCATTGACTGAATCTGGCACTTCCTGCAAAGATCTCGAGAACGTGGATCTTTCCTTTTCGTACACAATTCCAATGTGCTTGTTCAGGAACGGATGTGAGGTCCTCGACGAACATGTTCTCTGCCGGATGAGGTTCTGCAGGTTTGGGAGTTGTTTTTCCCGCGATACGCAATGGCACTGAGGATCTTGGCTTAGGAGCTGGTGCGGATGACTCCTTTTTCTTGACATCAGCAGAGGAGCCGGGTTGCTCCTTCTGCAAGGATTCTCGCTCTTCTGGTGATAAAAGATCAATTCCAGGTTTCCTCACAGGGATTGGTTTCATCCTTCCTGACCTTCGTCATGTTAACCTTGATGAGTCGAGTCCCAAGATCAAGTCCTACCATTGCTCCTTCAATGGAAATGAATGACCCTTCCTTTCAGCCATATTCCTCCCTTGCTTCCATCGGAACGGATCTTGGATTTGTCTTCCTGCCAGTAAAATACCTTGTCCTTCACCTGAAGAGGCTTAGAACTCATTCGGAGATTTTGAGCAAGGTCTCGTCGGATGTCTTCGGATTGACGCGCTTCTTGGAATGCTTGCTTGGACAGCTGCTTGATTTGGATGGCTGTCAGCTCTTCTTCATTCCTGTCAATCGTCAACTGAGTTGGTGTTGCGACATCGAGTTGGATGAGATCTGCTGGTCGTCTTCCGAATGCGAGCTCCAATGGTACACCCCCGTAGGTGACAGTCTGATTCCTGACAGTTGCAGCGGCCTTCACTAGCTGCCTGTAAGTCACTTTCTTCAGTGTTGCAGGTGCTGTACCTGCCTTGATGGAACTTAGCATGATCTTGAGTTGTGCCTTCAGGAGTCGAACTGCTGCTTCAGCTTGATTTGGCCATGGTGTATTCGGTCCCAAGGATATCGGTGTGATGTCAAGGGACTGATAGAAATGTTCCCATGTCTCTGTCATGAAGGCTTGATCTGCAACAACTGATTTGGGCTGCAAGTGATACACTGGTCAAAATAGTTCCTGAGGACAGTGATGTTCTCGACTTCTTGCGTAGTTGTCACTGCCTCTGCAGTGAGCAATGTTGTTGCTCCATCCAGGATGACAACAACAAGGATGTGTTCTCCGGTTCCAAGAGGAACCTGACAGTGATCAATGAATGTCATGTCACCAAAGGTGTCCGCTCGAAGTCCACTTGTTTTGCTTCGTGACGGTGCATGTTTTGCCGCTTGGCAAACTTCACGCTCACTTCGGATTTTGCCAAATAGATCGAATGTTGATTTCGGCAAATGAAGTGCGCGGGTTCTAAATCGAAATTGATCTGTTGTCATGTGATGATGCTGTAGGTGGAGCTTCTTCAACTCTTCGGGATTTGACAATCGCTTGTGGATTCTGCCTAGGGCAAGCGGAAGCGATGTTGGTTCTTCTGAGGATGGTGCGAAAGGATCTGGCTCAATGGTCGACCGGCCCTTCTTGTCGATGATCCTGTCTGCTGCCGATCCTGAACCTGCTTCTTCGTCTTTAAGCGAATTGTCCGCGATGGTGAAAATGGTCTTACCTATCCACAGGTTAATCATCGGTTTATTTGCCTGGGATGTATAAGTCTCCAATTGTCTTCTAGGATGTCTGGATCTCCACCTACGGATGCATCAATGATTTCCGTAGTACGCTCTCGGCTAATGTTATCAGGATTGATTGGACACTCCTTGGCTCCATTTGGTGTGAACAGCGCCTTTCTGGGCGTGATGCGCACACGGATGAGCTGCTTGTTCTTTTTGTCAAGGATCCAATGGTCCTGTTTTTGAGACCCAATGATCTTAGGAGTTGCTAGGTCCTCCTTTGTCTCGGATGATTTTGCTGCACAAACAGTTTCACTCTTGGTGAGATCCCCGGAGGGAAACTTGATGCTGTTATCATCGTCATAGACATAGTTGGTGAGGCCTTTGTGAGCAATTTCTCCATGTGCCTTCACTCTTGCAACTCCAGCGAGGTCGACGAGTGCATGTCCTGTACCGGATACTGGAACTGCTTGACGGTTCATGCCAAAGGCCTTGCATGTGATCTTGTCACATTGAGGTGTGTGCTCGATGGTCATGTAGCGGGATGTACTGATAGGAGATGATGTCCTTCATTGGTTCGATGGCCTGAGTAAAACGCTGGATTGCATGCCTGCCCATAGATCTGGTACATCCATTGTCCAGAATCGCATAGGTCGGATTGTGCTGAGGGTTGATGACAGGCGCCATCAGCTTTGTTGCCAGAAGGCTATGATTTGTTGTGACGGACAGATTGTGTTCTGAAACTGTATCTGATTGGATCAGCTTCCCGTGGATGGCCTTTTTCTCATGATGCTCATATGCATCATGGAATGCCATTAGCGCTTGTCCTGTGCTGGATGTCTCATGGGATGAGTACCAGCCATGTTCGTTCCATGTCCATGATTGATCCCAGTCTTGGTCTGTCCAACCCATAGGATGGATAACCTTTGTTTCCGTCATAGGGATATTGGAATTTTGATTTTCCTTTCTTTCCCTTCTTTCCTTTGCCTTTTCCCCAACATGCCTGGTCGTAGGGATCATAGCTTTCGTTGGCCATATTGGCCTTTCCGCCAGAACCGCTTTTTCTGAAGGGTTTAAAGCCACCTCGTTGGTGACTGCCCTTTTTATTTCCTGACTTTCCTTTTCCTTTTCTCTTCTTGAATTTGAGATTCCGCCCCGACACTTTTCTTGCTATGAACGCATCGTTCTCCTCGAGGACCCAGAACGTCTCTTCATCGTTGTTAGACTTGAATCCTTCAAGTCCTTCTTCATCCTCAACCCAGAAGCCTTCTTCTCCTTCATATTCACCTTGTTCGATGGTGAAGAATGTGTTGCTTCGGTTGCCTCCTTGAGGTCGGATGGATGGATCTTGAATGGATGTCCTCGTCGTGATGAAGAGTTCATGGTAATGCGTCTTCAGCATCTCATAGGAGTAGTTTTCTAGTGAGATGTTTCTCAATGACATTGCACTTGTCAGTCTCTCTCTTTGCTGATCTGACAGTTCACTCTGAATGATGAAAAACTGTGCAATGAGATTATCCCTGAAGGGAAATGCGTCCCGCTGTCTGTCCTGCATTCCCGTGATATATTGTCTGAGGACTACTGGATGATCCTCATTGAGCAGGGCTGGAGGCGGTGCTCGAACACCGGCTGCTTGCTGATGTCGAGCAATTGTTCTTGCATTTGCTTCCTGTACGGACTGTCGAAATGATGGGGACTGTGCCGTAAAAACTGGCATCAAGTCCATCCATGCTGCCTTCAATCTCATAAGAAGGATTTCGAATTTTGAGGTAAAAATGAGCAACTCTTGGTTCTGCCTTCGATGGTTGAAGAAACTGAGGAGCCTGTACAGATTCACGTTGGTCGCACCTTTCAAAAAGTACTTCTTCAGCGTGTTCTTGAAGTAGTTGACTCCTTCGTCAGGATCTTGCAGAAGGTCATTTTGGAGGACTGCCTTGTACATATATGCATCTCCGGTCAATCCTCTCTTGAGCAGAGGTCCTCTCTTGGGTGCTTCTACTGTTGGGATTGTCACCCAGTCGTCCACGAGTTCTTCATACCTGAACCAGCTGACTTTTCCGTCGTACGATGGCGGCTGCTTGGCGGTCATCGATAAACAGAGAGTTTCCTCCGTATAGCCTTGTGGCTTTGCCAAACTTGAATAGGCTTCCATGAAGCCGTCTCCATCGGATGACATCTTCCCTTGGATCTCTGCGGAATACCTGCTCCGCTACCAGAAATTGATCACTGGATAAGGCGTTGGCCGTGGCCAGGTTTATATCCTAGAGATCGCGGGTTCGACTCCCGGAGGTGGTAAGCACTACGTAGTCCTGAACAATCAATACGATTGGGGCTAGCACGGGAAACCTGCTCCGCAGCTACCCAGCTAAGGGCACAGAATAGATGGTGCCACCGCTCCCAGAAATTGAGCCCCATTGCCGGGTACCTATCCCAGAAGGGAACTGGTACCTTTGTGGTAGTGGAGGTCGTTGATTTGGTCCCTGGATCTATTCCGGAGAGAATCCAATATGCCACTATGGATGATTGGAGGATGATTGTCTTGTGGATAATCCTGTAAGCGGCCTGCAAAGGTTCTTTTGTCACGCAATCATGAGTGTTGCTATGATACACAAGAGGGGCCTTGAGCCAAATGTTGCAGGAGATCAAGTGTTCAGAAAACCAAACACAGGGGGAGCATGAGACTAGGTGCCCAATGGCCAGTTTGATTGACCCAAATGGACCACAAGGGGATGGGTGTGTAATTCCCATGGCTTCAGCACAGGTTTCTCTGAACCTGGAAAACCGTCGCTGGACCATTTTTCCCCCGGGAGTCCCCAAAACGTTGGGGGCCCAGAAAATTATCCAGATTCTTGCTGCCGTTTCGGGGTAAGGACACAACCAGTTGGATGGCTTCTCTCGGGGTCAGATTCCATTTCTCATTCCCTACCTACCGCAAAAGCAAAACCGCCAGTTGCATGGTTTTTGTAGGGGCCACACTCCATTCCACCGGTTGCATATGGTTGCATGGTTTTCCTAGGGGCTCCGACTCCACTTCTCATCCTCTCCAATCCCCGTCGCACGAAGAAATCCGAGGTGCGACCACTTGGGTCGCGTGCGGCGCCTGGCGATGCCGCGGATGCACCTCGCGGGCCGCCTGGATCCGCAGCTGCTGCGGCTCACGGAGCTCCGGGAGCTGTCGCTCAGCGCCTGGGATCCGATCCGAAGCGAAGGCTCCATGTGGCGGGGCAAAAACCGGTACCCAAAATGGAAAGGGCTCCTTGACAGATTTTTGTTGAAACCAGTTGAAACATGTGGCTTGTTCAACACCCAAATGCAGGGAAACCACCATTTACAAGGCAATGTTCAGGTGTATAATGTAAGGATCCCTGATGGAACCCTGGCAAATACAACCATTTGGGGTAGGTGAATTCACCACCCACTTTTGGTCGATATTTTAGTGGGGATTGGGATGTTCACTGTACCCCTCACAGAGCACCGTTACCATTCTGGACACTGGAGGAGTGCCAGAGGGTCACTCGGAGCACGGGAGAACCACTGCAGGACCACACGAGGAGCACAAGACTGCCATTAGCATCCATGAGCGTACCAAAAGAGGAGCTCTAGACGCTAGAGGAGCACTAGCAGCGCGCTGGAGGATTATAAGAGCATCGCCAGAAAAAAAGTCAGCCCACCAAAAAGAGGATGCATCCCGTTTTCCCCATGGCCACTGGGCATCTGAGATGTCCGTAAGATGTGTTTTTTGTTGGTTGATGTTGGTTTCAAAGGGAACCTATCACTATTATATATATATATATATGTTGTTTGTCCAGTGGACTTAAGCAAATCCAAGTAACCAAAGCGGATGGACCTTTTTCGAGCTTCATTTTCACATAGTTCATGTTTAGTCCAGGCCCACGAAGGTGAACCTTTTCATTCCTGCTTACATCTTTGACCCTTGGCTAGAATGATGAACACGGAGACGATTTAAGTCCTACGTTCGTTTGAATACATGGATTGCACCATATGGCTCTCATATTTCCCCGTGGTTTCAAACATCACCTTTGCGGTCCATTTAGAGCTAGTTTCCTTCTGGGTGATGTCGAAGGGGAATACAGAGAGACCAGTTAGAGACCAGTTTTCCCTTGCGAGGCGCTGGGGGGGGTACTCCTTTGCTCCGGCTTTGTTCTCGATTGTTTTGGACCCGAAAGTTGCCCTTCGTATAGCCAACCCCGCGGGACCCCATGAGTTTCACTCGTCAGCTTGGCTGTGTCTGTAGCTTCCCTTAGGGGAAGTGCAGGAAGGCTTAAGACCTGTGCTGGTTGGTTGCAGTAGGTTGGATTGTGCTCGCAAGATCGATGAGGTGTTGGTTTTCTGATTATGTTTCTAAGCCTATGCTTGCTTACGCCCTCTTTGTCTGCAGTTTTGCTGAATTGACCTGGCTTGGATTGCGTCAAAGTGTTGATTTGGATGTTGTGTCAATGGTATTATGTTTGTTCGTTGCATCTCCCTTTGCGGTACTCGAGGTAGAGTTTGCACGTTGTCATATTATGCGCAGTGCTGTTATCATTGCCTTACTTGCACGCAGCCGTGCACTTTGCGGCCGTGCGGGTTTGGCCTGTTAATTGCTGCATGGCAAGATGCCAAGTTGTGCTGCGTGTGCCAAAGGTTGTGCGTAGTTGGTCACCCCCAGAGCTGCGGCTCCGAAAGCCATTTCCCGGGGTGGCCCAAGGAATCGGTTTGTTATTGGGCGCACCTAGCTTTGCTTCCGACCTACCTTCTGCTCGCAAATTGCCGTTCAACCAAGTAAACGCCATCATCTCACACTGCCTCAAGCAACGAGATGCTGATTCATGTCCAAAGTGTCTTCTACCACGTCCAGCGTCTTTAGGACAGTTTGAATAAGGGCTTGGGGTCGTCCTCATTCAACAGCAGCGTTGGCGACTTTTGGTGCGTGTTTTTTCGACACCCGTCGCCCCGCGCAGCAAGTTTCAAGAAACGATTTTTCCCACAAATTGAGTGGGTTGGCCCTTGAAGTTTCTCTCTGGAAACTGACATGTCGGAAGTCACAACGGGTTTTTTCGAGGGGACATGCGTCTTCATAGTGTGTGTTGAGGAGGTGAACGTTAATTTTCAGCACAGGAAGAGTCCCACTACCTCAACATGAAACTCAACAGAGGCACATGCTGCTACATCGCTTTCAATGCTCAGAGAGCCCTTCACGGGGGTCGCCGAAACGGGTTTCAGGCAAAAGCAACATTGCCAAGAAAACAGCCCGACAAACCGGATGTGCTGAGAGGTGTGCGCAAACCAACACACCAAAACTGCCCGAAACTGGATGAGGAACGCCCCCCGCTTGCTTGCGATCCCCCGTTCAGGGCCGCCAAACACGAGAAGCGACGCATCTCCGCATGCCTCTTCTGAAGCAACTTGACTTGTGGAACAAAACTGCAACAGAAATGGACATTGATGGTGTTCAAGGCTGTTGCTTCAGAAGTGCATGGACTAGAGATGCTGGATCCAACAAACTCACTTGCACGCCTTCTAAGCACATTCCAATCGAAAGAGCTCCGAAAGATTCTTTACCTACAATGTAAATACAAAGAACAGCAACGAGTATGTGTACAGAAGAGCGAAGGCGATTCTTCAGGCGCCAACCCAAGGGCCACGGCGAAAAACCCGTCCCTTCACTGAAAGCTCAAAATGCTAGGACACGTTCTCGGAAGGGACCGAACTTATCCCCAGTACCAAGTACCATTCAGCACATCCGCCATACCCCGGGAAACAACCTCTCGCAGAGCTGGTCGGCCGAGTAAGGGCAAATATGGATCTGGCATGTCAGCGAATGAAACAGCATGACAGCAATTTACCCAACATGCGTTTTGACAAGGATAACCCTGGGATTCGTCAGCACCTTATCATGCAGGCTGGTAATTGTCAAACGCCTTTTTGAAGCGATCCGGTGCTATCATATCAGTCCCTCTAGCAATATAACTAGAGGGCTCAGCAAAACTGGGCATCGACGACTGAGTGGTACGCCACTTGGCGTGAGGTCAAAACCGTCTGCAGGGCCACATCCCTTCGTTGGCGGGGCTGCGTGAGCTGCTACCTGGCAATGATGGTTATTGTTTGGTGCCCAAAAAACCTCGGTGGCCCAGTGGGTTGCTTCCCTATTTCTTTTTCCATTTTTTGGGGAAGGGTTCCCCTTTAAACTCAACCAACCACTGGGCTTCGGCCGGGATGTGGGCTCTCACTCCAATTGAAGGGGTGGGGTCTTGAGCAATGTGGCGGAACCAAGAAAGGATACCCCCTTGACCCACTGAGCACTGATCAGAAAGGACCCGCAGGCCGCAAGAGAAAAAGGCTGGCCTTGAGGGCCCAAGATGCTTAGAGGGAGTTCAGGCTTTCTTTGTCGCAGGTTTCCGAAGGGGATTTTCCGGGATCCAAGTGTGGCATGTTTTTTTGCGAAGCATCACTCATTTCAATGCATGGGGGCCATGTGTGGAGACATCATGGGAAGCGTAGATGTTGTCTGGAGAAACGTACCTTTAGCTGGCAGATTTCAGAATGACAGTATGTTCCAGATGAGTGCTTTCGCAGAAGAACGTCGGGCTGTGAAATGTCCAAGCTGAGTTTTCGGGTGATTTCGGGGTGGGTTGTGTCGCTACAAGTTAACATGGATCTGGAAAATGCCCCCCCCCCCCTCCCCACAAGGAGACTCCTTTAAAAGGACGGCTTGTCGGCTTCCATCTTGATCTACAAATTGTGTTCTGAAGGCATCCCAGCAAAACTGGCTCAGCCCGGGGGAGGGGGGGGGTCAGGATATGATGCTCCCAGAGCCATGGGAGGTAACTAAGACAAGTCCTTGGCCTTGGCAGATTCACAAGGTGCAACTCCGGAGTCAACCCGCAATTCGGCGGGGCGGAAGGTTAGACTTGATTCTATCCACAGTCCCGTCCCCTGGAATATCTTGAGTTTCCGAAGCATCACTGGTGCAGAGCTACTGCAGGGTCAGACCAGGGATATTCAGTTCTGAGGATCCATGAACGTGAGTGATGATTTGGGAGCGACTGGACACTCTGTGGCAAGCACTGCACATCATCAATTCCATGCACCTTGTTGACCAGGTTTAGTGGCACCCTTCTTTTGCAATCAATTCCCACGCTTCCAAAAGGCCCCCTTCATACTTGAAGTCCGCCTGAAAAGGAAGCTAGCAAGTCGACCACGTATCAAATGTTCAAGTTGGTTTTCGAGGAGCAACGAGGAGCAAATCAAAAGGAGCCTCATTGGTCCTAATCAAAGGGACAGCTAAGAAGTTCCACGCCGTCTTGACGATGCTTTTGTCCGCAAGCAATGGCTCTGCCGCCTTTTTCATAAGGGAGAAATCCCACGACACATTTTCCATTAGGGGTTCCCTGTTTCGAACACTGCCCCCGACGCTCATTTATTGTGTTGCGTGCCTGGTTACAAAGTGAACTGCCTGAGATCCGATGCTTTACATTTGTTGAGTAAATGTTTCAAGCAGAATCTGAAAACAGTTTTGGCGCAACTGTGGAAGGACGAATTCCTGCACCACCTAAGAAACCCTGGTTTCGGATGATTCCCCTGTCAATACTAACCAACAATGGTTTCTCATGGTTTCCAAGTGGTGCGAACGGATTTAGTTCATCCACAGTATGTTGGGATACTTGGTGTTGCCATCAGAGTCCTCTCCCGCCCAGGCATCACGTTGATCTCTCCAAGAACTTGCTCTCAGGGTCCATACCGTCGCTGCCGCCCAATCTGACGCTCACTTGAACAGAAACAAATGGCGCCTATTCTTTTCAGTGTTGGATGTGTGAAACAGTTGTGGATCAGGATGCATGTTTTGTTTCGTTTGCTTTCTTGTGTTGGTTCCGACGTTGTGTCGCATTTCGTGTGCCAGGGTTGCTCCGCTGGTGCTATGTTGCTTGCAAGCTTCACAAAACCGGGTTAGCATAATTACATGAATGTAAGTTAAGTTCTAGATTTGCCCCTAAGGGGTCCGTCTTAGTCAGGTGACCACTCGATGGTTTGCATTGGTGGTTTGGCTTGGGCGCTTGAACCCCTGTTCGTTG